GACTTTGTGATATTCTTTTCATTCAGAAAAGGAATGGAAATCGATATGAAATTTTAAAAAAAAATTCAGTCTTCATCCATTCTGTTCCCTAACCTCTGATACTCCAATTTGTGGGAACCAACATTGCGATATCTTTGGGAAATCATAAATAGGTATAAATTAGCTATCAATGACAGAGAAAAATAAATGTAATAATCAAAATATATGTATATATAAGGTAAGTATCAAAGAATAGCTCTCTTTGGTGTCTTGATATTTACTTCGAAGATTCTTTGTAATCTTTTGAAAAAAAATTTCTGTTCTTTTGTTCTAAACTAACAATGATGTATACAGAATAAGATAAAAAAGTTAAATTCATAAAAATTTCAGTTCATATCTTATTCAATCCCACGTAGTAAGTAAGGCACTTGCTTTTTTGGTTACACTTGTTGAAAATCTTACCTTCAGAGCCTTTTATGGGTATTAAAACAAAATAAATGGTCAAACATTAAATATGTTAGCGCAGAAGTGATGCATGCTTCAAAAGAGCCCTTTCCATAGTTCTAGACCATCCCAAAAGCATTATATTCTAAATAATCGCCTTAATTGCCGAAAACTAGGAGGGGGTAGCCCAAGTTTTGATCTAAGTTATTCATCAGGGACAAGATAAAAACATTTATATTAATTGGAAAGTTGTAAAAAAAAAAATTAAATTAAATTAGTAAATGGAGCATCGTTTAAAATATAAGTTAAATTACAAAATAATGAAAATACAAAATGGTATGAAATATAAAGTAAAACAGGAAAAGTGATGGCATAATATTGTGGTATTTATTGTATTACCAATACATGACAGATTTAATTCAACATAATAGCGAAAACTGGTTAAATAAAGTTAAAAATTTATGTTAAGTATATATACAAATATAAAATATAGAAAAGAGTGGCAATCGCTTCTATATTAATTGGTTAAAATTTCATATTCATATAGATTTGAAGCATGTTTGAAAAAAGATAAAACTAAAAAAAAGTCAGAAAAAACATCAGCTTTATTAAAATCATAAAAAAGAGCAAATTACATTTTAATATTAAATCATTATATGGACCGTTCCTAAAATAAAAAATCAGGTAATCAGTAGCGCTTATTGGCTCATATAGGACTTAATTAAAGTTTTATGATTAACAAAAAGTCCTGATAAAATCGAGCAGATGTATATTTAAAATAAAAAAGACCTAATTATTAAATAAACTTTTTCTCTGTTTATAGATGGTTCCTACACTATTATCATACTTCTATTCCCACATTCTTAATATTCATGAATGTGACTATATAACATCAGGTCATGTCACTTCTGTAATTTTTTTTTTTTTTTTTTTTTTTTTTTAGAAATGTAATAATCTGTCACGTGGACAATAATTATAGTGATATATGAAAACATTCATACTAAATATACAGAAAATATAAAATAAACAAAAGTAAAATAATATTCAAAAACATGTACAATAAAAAATAAAATAACATAAAGATAAGTAAATTAAAAACATAAAAACACAGTCATACCTTCAATACATATACAATATATACAATCAGGCAGGGAACCTCAAGCCAGACTTCTTTCTCCAACTACAGAAGGAAAAGCAGGACTCCAACAGATCCCTGCGCTACTCTCTCAATCATGTCACTGGTGCTAAAGCCAATAGAGTTTGAGCGAGAGAGCTTAAGGCACATACACTCATGAGTGGAGAATCTGGTTATTGTCAGAACTCCAAGATATATACTACAAAAGATTTTTGGGCCACTGCTGCTTCAACCTTCGTGGAAGACTGTAGGGATGAGTGGAACTAGATAGGGTTTAGTGCCTCGGGATTTGGATGATTTATAAGGTTCTGATGGAATTTGGAAATATTTCAGGGATAAGGTCGAGGACAAATGGAATATTAAGGTCATGATGTAGCGTTATCTGTGATATTAGAGATGATATAATATGTTGTTGGTTTTATGTTAAGGTTAAAAGTCATGAAAATTAATTCTTGGAACGCTAAGGTTTATTGACGACACATTAATGTGATTTAGAGGCAATTAAAAAAATCTCGGAGTTGCTTAAAAATTATTGGCGAGCTAATCTCTTTTATCTATTGTAATCGGCTTTTTTTTTCTTTCCGATATCGGAGCTGTATAAGACGTTACATGTTTAATGTGGTTAAGCAGAACACAGGTCAAAAAATAAACTAAAATATCACTTAAACAAAGGATGTTTCAATAATAAAAATATATCAGCCTTTTTTGGTTGCTTTACAATTCCATTACTTTGTTTAATTTATATACGAGCACAAGTGCTTGAGTATAGAATAAACTCCCTGGCGCTACAATTCAGCCTGACTCTCGGTCACCTAAATTATCCTTTTTCCTTTAATTCTGTCCAGCGTCTCTCTCTTCTTATTACGCACTCCTATCTTTCTCCTCTGTATCCTTCCACCTACATCTTCGTCCTCGCCTTTTTATTTTCCCTGAATTATAACCCGAATATTTTTTTTTCTAATCAGGCGTCCTGCCATTCTCAGACTACCAGCTTTGATGCTCTTATTAACTAATAAACTCTCAAATTCAACATACCTTTTTTATTTTCCATTCACCATAACTGGTACCGGTACTGATACGGTTGGGAGCACTAGCCCGGCCATTTGATACTTTTTTTCATCCCCTGACGTCCGCCTTGAGGTTCCCGCCGCGAACTTACATGTGTGGGAGTGTCAAGATTCATTTCCCAATGTCTCCTAGAAATAAATATTAACTGTCATAGATGGGAATCGAACCCACAAAGTTCAGAATCGGGCATCCTATTACAATGCCGCAAATACCTATATCATATTTTATGAAACGATCATCAATTTATTTCTTTTTGTCCTTTTTTTTACACTTATAACAAGTAATTATCTTCCTTGTGAATAGCGAAAACTCATATTTTTTTTTTTCATTTTAGTCTACACCGTTGCCAACTCATGGATTTTTAACTATTAAATAAAGATATCAGAGATTTCTTTGAACTCAGTTCATTGTTTGAACAATTTTATTGAGGTGAGGTTGTTAACTCCACCGTCAACCCCCAACCTGGAAGACGAGTTCTAGGCGGAAGATCAACCTCGGTTTAATTTCGCAGTTTCATTCTCCTAGACAGGTTCCCTTCACTAGGAATGAATATTTACTCAGGAGGTATTTTAACGTCATGCCAAGGGCATGTATAAATAGCCTATTCTAAGAAAAAGCTCAAGATTCGAAGCTGTTTGATCAATATAATTTTTCAAAAAAAAAAACTTTATACATACGAATGTATGAATTTAGATACTTTCAGATTATACAGGGAAAAAATGAAAAATAATTGAAAAAAAAAGGAATATATTCAGCTCATTTTATTATAGTTTTTTAATATTTTTGGAAATATAAGTCTCAAGTTTCCGAAAACCGATTTTATTCAGTGCTGCCAATTGCCCCGAGGCACCAACCTACGAGATCGCCCGATGGGTCGCTAATCGTCAGGTGCTCACGCCACTTGTTAAGAATTTAAAAAATATATACATATATAAAACGTATTAAAATAATTAATTTTAGACTATTAATAGAGCAACTGTATTGGAGAAACATTGAATGAAATTAAATTCAAATACTACATAATATAAAACGGTTAAAAAAATAAATGTAATTTTTTTCATTGACCAGGAGCGCCCTATGTCCAAGGCCGGCACTGTTTCTATTTATAAGATAGAGAATTATTCTGTTTCCTATTAGCAGGCTTAGTGTTCGGGAAACTATCCTGAAACAAATCAAAACCTATTCAAAGTCGATGCGTTAGGGTCTGTTCACAAAAAGTGGTTTAATAATCCGTTTCATAATACAGACCCGTTTTTTATCAAATTATCAACATCCTCCTGAAACTTCGTAAGGAGCTTCATCCCCTCATAACAAACAAATATTTTATTTACGAAAATTCTCGGAATTGGGGCGATTTCAATCTAGCTATCCTCAAAATTTGTTCATTTAATTAGGTAGGAAATACTCGTTTACTTTCCACTTGAATCGTCAGATAATTTGAGCAAATATTAAACCATTTTCATGACATACACCCCCCAAATTTCAAAATAACGAGTTTATATAGCACAAACTTCCCAATATTTTTGTAGGCCACCTTTTTTTATCGATTTAATGATCAAATTATCTTACAATCAAAGTGAAAAGCTTGTAGGTATGTATGAGTTTTATTACCTAATTAAATAGACAAAGTTTGCCGACCTCCAGATTTAAAATGCCCCAATTCCAAGAGTTTTCGTAAATAAAATAGTTTTAGGTTACGATGAGATGAAGCTACTCACGAGCTTTCAGGAGGATGTTAATATTTTTGATAAAAGGGGTCTGAACTCTATCCGTAGCTAAGTCGTGAGTCAAGTACTCCTGTATTATCTTTCTACTGAAAGATAGGATTTTTGACTAGAAATAGTTTCTTCTCGTCCACACAGGTCAAGTGATCATCGAGCTGGGAGTATATCCGGCACAGATGCCCCCTCAGGTTCTCACCTTAACTAGTTGATCCCACCCACCATCAAAGGACCACCTCAACATCAAAGGTCGTAGGGCTGCTATCAGTTGAACGCGAGCTTCCTCTCACTTGATATTAACATTATCGATATTAATTAATAGTTTAATACAATATATTGTATTTAATTAATAAAATAATGGCTTGATTGGCATATTATAACAATTAATTGTTAAAATAATTAACAATAAGTATATTCAATATACTTAGACATGGTCCCAGCCATATAGTTTATAAATGAGTGGTGGAAGTGGAGCCTAGTAATTCAAGCTGGATAACAATAGGAGCAAGAAGAATTATATTTAATATATCCTATCATTAGAAGATTTAGTAACTTTAATTTTCTAATAAACGATGGATCCATAAAACATAAACGTAAAATAAAACGAAATGTTAGTAATTTATTACTAAATTAATATTAATTCCAACACCCCAATGAGGACTCTCACCATAGACAGCTACAGCTGGTACTGGTATTGTTACCTGTTGGCAGTACTAGTCCACCAGGTGGAAATATCGGTGATCCTTTTAAAACGTTCACTCCCTACCCTGAACTGCAGTACGTTCAGAAATTTGGACACCTCGAACTTCTTCGAGCTGATGAATCGCTTGAACAAAGGTAAGGTGCCGGTTTCGTAAAATTCTCAAAGTCAAAAACCAGTCATCCCGTGGTTCTGTTACCCTAGGCCGTCCATAACCGGTCCTTCTATTGTAAGAACCAGTTTCCCGAAAACGCCTGACGGCGTCTCGTAAAGTTTCATATGGAACTCCGATGGCATTAGCTTCATATCTAATGAACGTCCATCATCAATAAGTGCCACACCACGCGCAACATCCCCAGGACTAAGAGGCATTTTTAAACTTAATATTGAATAAATTAAAAGCCGGAGACTAAGAATAGTGCTGATGATACTGAATAAACATTTTGATTCCATAGAAAGTAAACATTGGAATCTAGAATCATTTCATTGAATGATTAAGGGATATTGTCCTCTATTTTTAAAATACCTAATTGAAAACAAACTAGAAGATTACTTATTTATTCATTAAAAACAATAGACCAATCCAAAGTAGAAATATTTCTAGATGAAAACATGAAAAAATCAAGTGGGTGGAATTGTTTGCCTGTCAGTGTATATATATATATATATATATATATATATATATATATATATACATATACATATATATACACTGACAGGCAAACAATTCCACCCACTTGATTTTTTCATGTTTTCATCTAGAAATATTTCTACTTTGGATTGGTCTATTGTTTTTAATGAATAAATAGGTAATCTTCTAGTTTGTTTTCAATTAGGAATTAAATCTCCGACAACGTAGCCTGGAATGCTTTTATCTTCAAGTGAATTATTCGTATATATATATATATATATATATATATATATATATATTATATATATATATATATATATATATATATATATACGAATAATTCACTTGAAGATAAAAGCATTCCAGGCTACGTTGTCGGAGATTTAATAATGGAGAAGAGCCTTACACATTTATTTCAGAATGTTAACAATGAGAATTGTCCACGTTAAGTATCCTTGTAGGCTTTAAAGGATTAAATTAGGTAATCAAATAAAACGGCGTGTGTAAACATCTAACTTTCAGTGAATCAAAGTAGGAAATTGACAAATTCCTCAAACTAAAAACACAAATGTTTCGAATTTTGTCTTGGATATTATTGTCTCATGTTTTTTAGAAACATCTCTGGGTATTACGAGGGATTTGCTCATTTCTTATCTTCATTAAATTATTATAATTAGATATTTAATAGATCTTAAAAGAATACGTATTAATTCGTGAATATAATTTATTAAATCACTCTGAATGAACACAATAGATCTTTTTTTGTGTGAAATTGCAAAACAGGTTTCAGAGAAAAATCGTAAAAAAAAAAGACCTGTTTTAGAGCGATATAGCAAAATAGATCCTACAGGATTTCATATTTTAAATGTACTACCCGTGTTTAGTATAGATTTGTTGAGAGCTCTGTTTTCCTTTGAACAGAAAAAAATGATAAATCCTAAAAATCTTAGACCTAACGAATATTGAATGCATATCCTGACTATTTTTCATTTTAACTAGTCAATTACAGTTAAAAATGTTGTATTTTTATTTATAATTTCTTGTTTTTATTTTTAAGTTATTTTATGGTTGTACATTTTGCAGAATCATAAATATTTTCTGTATTTAATATTATTCATTTGTAAATAAAACAGTTCTGGAAGTATAAAGAAATATACCTATATTAACACTGCTAATACCCTCCTCTTCCTCCATACTTAATATATAAAAATATGTAAAATATTCGAATGTTTTGTCAACAGTTTTTAAACATAATCGTAAGCAAAATAAAGGTACAAATATAAACACATGGCTATAAATTTATTTTTAAAGATACAACATTTTATTCTTCATTTTACAATAATCTTCTTTTTTTTTCTTTTTTTTTTTTTCTTCTCCCTTTCCTCGCCTTTTAGGCTATACGGGGTTTTCTCAGAGCAAGGGATGAGGGCGGGGGATTAATGTGAGAGTTAAAAGCCCCTATATTTTACAGTAATCATATTGATACTGTCAATTTTCTCTCATGATTTTTATACATAATATAGTTACCGAGTTTTATTGCTGGGTCCATCGAACACTCTCTCCAATCAATATTGAATCTGCACTTATGCCAACATATGTCGGAACAAAACAAATTATTAAAAATGAGCTATCATACATCCATCTATCACCTTCAATTAGAAATCTACGTGGTTCCTTGTGATTCAAAACATGGTAAAGTTCAAATATTTATGCATTTTTTTTAAATATAAATTTTAAAAAATACTTATGAACAAAGTATAAAAATAGACTTTTAATTTATTTATTTGGTATACCTAATACGTCTAATTCATATAACTAAGCCTGAGACACCCATATTCAAAACCTTTTAGTGAGTGGTATGATTAAGAATGGACTCAGATCATGTTGACGTCGAAATCCTAACCTCGAATAAACTCATACTTACATATTTATTTTATAAGATTTATATTCTGGACACCCAGACAGATTCCAGCTTTCCATTTTCCAGCATATCAAGTTGAAGTGGATTTACTTCGCTTACAGGCGGCCATATTTTCCGGGTGCCTTTCTCTACCAATCCAAGAGAACCCAGAAGGCTCCTTATATCCAGGATCCCTCTTTCCTTCCGTTCCTTCGTTCACTCCTTGAACACCAGATCCAAGTCGTAAGAAAACATCCTTTCATAGAACAGCTTTCCTTGAAAATTCTCATAATCCATACCATTACTTCCAAAAATTCCTTACTCGATTCTATTCGTAAAGTTACTTCCCTAGCCACATTCAAATATAACCTATTCATTTACCTTCCCCTGAGCAAATAAGCAAATAAATTTAATACCTAAGTATCTTCCTAAAACTGGTTAAGAAGAAAATCCGGTGTATTTGCAAATTAATTAATATAAAAACTGACCATTCAATATTTTATTTTGGATATTTATTTGGTTTAGTTGAATTATGAATTAGCATTCAGGCATGAGAAAGGATAGTACCGAACAGCACATCTTCCTGTTTTTTTTTAATTAACTTCCTTACTTCAGGACATATATTTCATCGAGCTCCTTTTCAGTCGCCATCTGATGGGCATGTTAGCCGTAGGTTATTTATTTATTGATTAGATATTATTCATTTATCTTGTTTTATGTTATTTTTTACCTTTCTATTAATTTTCAGTTTCAGGTTATTTGTTTATATTCAAGTTATTAATAAATTAATAAGTTATTAATTATTTTACAACTACTTATATATACAAATACAAATACTTATGTGTGTGTGTGTGTGTGTGTGTGTGTGTGTGTGTGTGTGTGTGTGTGTGTGTGTGTGTAATATATTAATAATAAAAAAGATTAGTTCAACTCTCTTATTCATAGGGGCAATAATATCTAGCATGAATATTTTCATTTCAAATCTTAGGTATACCTGCATTACATTTCCAAATGGATTGTCATTAGGTCAAATATGTCAAATTATAAAAATACAATTCGTTCATTCACTCTGATGCTTGAAGAATATTGTAATCAATTAGAACTAAAAATAATTTGCAAGAATATTTGATAATGTGTTTTCAAATAATATAGACTCATGAAAACAATCATACCCATGAGAGAAAATTAATTATAAATTAAGCTATTTTGCATAACTGTACAATGGAAATAGAAAAAATACTCACATAATGCCCAAATACACATGCATTATACTTATATAAAATCACGTGTGAGTGTCTCAAGTTAATAACCGTCAATGTTAAAAAGATTAAAAAATGTTGTAAAACATTTATTTATTTTGTAAATAACACGTTTTCTATGCGTTCAACACCGTTAGAAGTTAATATGAAACTTGTAGAATATGAAGTTCTACGAATCTACAAATTTGGTTTCATTCATTTCTCTTTTACGGTCAGACGTTCTCTAAATGTAACACGGAATGTGGGCAGTGAAATGTGGCTAAGCCCGACGAGAGGGGAGGCAGCTGGAATTGTAGGCCTGCGGTCCAGACATCGATGGGGGCCCGGTACGGCCTTATTTATTTTTTTTTTTTGTGCATCAGGTTTTATTTTGTTAACTTCTAAATATAGATAAAAATAGAGTATAAAAAACATTACTTATATAATAACCATGAACTAACTTAACATAATATTTTGCTGTATAGTTTACAAGAGGCTTGCATTATCGTGATCAATTTAACATTTGACTGGGATCCCGTAAAATATTCCCTAGGAGCCTTGGTTTTTCTCCATGACCTTGCCAACTATTAGAATAAAGGTCTAATAGGTTTTTTCTCCTCCAACCTACTCATTTCAATAGTGAATTAGAATGCATTCAATAGAAAGGTCATTACTATAATGGACATAATAATACTCCCTGTTATGGGACTTTTTATGACGAATTACCTTTCATCATTCTTCATCTTGAACGTCTGTTCTAAAAAGGGGAGGAGAAAATTGAATAAAAAAATTATCCACCGTTTTGCTTTCATTCCATCCGCTACGAGTTCTTTTTCTGATAGAATGAAAATTATAAATAAACAGGGAATTAATTGGCCAGACATTTACCAAAGGCCCGCGGTGCTGTTTCAGCGGCTGATCGCGTAATTGGCTGGATCGGACTGTAAACACACACAAGCTCCCCCCCTCCATCCTTCCCCACTAGCCACCACTCGTTTTAATTTGCCACATAACAACACTGTAATTTGCAACTATACGCCAGCACTGAATGTCGGTGGATGTGCTAATATTGCCTCGGCGTGTAACAGCTTCTCTGAAGTAATTTACTCTCTGATATCTCTCTTTTATGTTATTATATATTTAACATATAAATATATATGTATGAGTATACATTTACAGAGAGAGAAGATTGATGAATATCTATATGTTACATGTAAATTGCATATATCTCGTATTACATAGCTTGGTTGTTTTTTAACCGACTTAAAAAAATAGAATAACGAAATTAACATAAATAAATTGTTATGTCGTTTATAATATTTCGTGGAAAATTAAATAAATTAGATAACATACATCTGTTAACTATGAGGCGTTACTCCAACCCACAAAGACGTCACAACTCTCACAAAACACCCTTCAGCGTTTTGTATATTAAAAATCATTCAATAATAGAATTTTCATTATTGTACTTCATAAATTCGTACTGAGAGGTATTGAATTATCAGTAATTATTGGAAAACTGATATTATTCGATGAAAGGACTCTCCTTAGGCTAGTTTTTTCTCATATTCTAAACTTCAAACACTAACTATCATACCAAAACATTCAAATCATACCTTACATAGTACCGCGAAAGTAGGAAACGATAATATCTAGTTCTGCCTTAAATATTGTTACAAGAGTTGAACTTTGTTTACATCTTTGGGAAGTTTGCTTTGATTGCACCATAAAGCTCCATTTATTGAAAAAGGAGTTAAAACAGCCGCTAAAAACTATATTTTGGAACCTGTTGTCAAGCATCTTAATGATACTCTGTTTGCTGGAAGTCAAAGGGTTTTCTAGCAGGATTCCACTCCAGCTCACAGGGCCAGGTCAACTCAGCAGTGAGTGCAAAAGAAAATTCCAGAGTTCATATCTGCCTCGGATTGGCCCTCAGGAAGCCGTGATCTCAACCCACTATATTATCGGCTTTGGTCCAAACTGGAGAGGATGGCATGCCACAGAGCACATCCTAACTTAGAAAGCCTCAAACAATCACTGGCCCGAGCTATTGAGCGTTTTCCTCAAGAAGTGCTGCTGTTGATGACTGGCCACGGAGATTAAATGCCTTTGTCAAGGCAAAAGGGGTACCTTTTTAGTAATTTCTTTTTTGTTTTACTCTCTATAGATATACATTTTATTTTCTAATAAAATTTATGAAAAAATTAATTTTTCTGTTAAAATCTTTTCATATTTTCTAGTAACAATATTTATGCCAGATCGAACGATGAAAAAATCAAATATAAAAATTGTAGCTGGATGACCAAGTCAACTTTCAAATTAAGGACATTCATCTTAGTCTGATTCAACATCCATTATCGCAAGTTGAGGAAAAAACAATAGATTTTCGCAAAACCCCGTACGTAATTCTTCTTTTATAACACGGTTTTCTGTGTTTCCGTAAATTCTTCTGACTCATCTTTCTTCCCTCAACACATTGGTGTACCACAAGGTAGCGTCTTAACTCCAATTCTCTAGTCGCTAGACAACTCGGATATCCCTGAGCACCACCATCTATTGTTTCGCAGAGGACACCGCAATTCTTTCTTTCCACAAAAATCCTACTATCGCATCAATTTCCTTTCAAACCCACCTCTGTAATCTTCAAAAATGGGTCGATAAATGGATAATTACAATAAACAGTAGCAAATCCAACCACGTGACTTTATCTCTTAGGAAAGCCTCATGTTCACCCATAAAGATTGGCAATTACAATTACTACGAATAAACACTAAATTTTGTCCGTAAGTACAATAGTTATTTTAAAGGATCAAACTAGGAAAAAAAAAGTAATATGTCACAAACGACCCCAAGGATGGTTGTGACAGTTCTTGCGATCGGCAGTGAAATGGTTCAAAATCACTTTTATTGTTTTATATACCAAAATAAATAAAATCTTGAACAATTTAATCGTTTATAACTTATAAGGTATCAACATTTGTATAATAATCAACTCTCCGTCTCCCTCGAGCGTTTTCTGGGAATCTAAAAGCAACAAAAAAATATTTACTTGCGTCACAATCTTATCCAGAAAATAAGTCAAAACCGTACCCAACGCACTCTTTCGCAAAAAACAGTCACCTCAACAATATAAAAGTATCTACGTACAAAGTAATCATTGCTAATTAACAACTAATGTTTAACTTATAACGAGGAAATCATTAATTGTTCTATCTGTAGAGAGATAAATATTTATTGAAAGTAGTGCTGTCCACGGGCGGATCCACGGAGGAGAGCGCTTTGGGGGTGAAGCCCCCTCCAAAGTGGTAAAATATAACTATGTTTTATGAAAAAAATATTTAATAATTACTTCCAAAAGTATTATTTTTCGTGTAATTACATTTAATAATACTTAAATTCTGTTTCATTTAGGTAGTTGGTTTCCTTCTTTTTCTTCCTACGTAATTATCGTTATATGTTTTTTAAAAAAATCTTTCGGGCTGAAGCTCCCCCCCCCAAAAAAAAACTTAATCTGCTGCCCTAATATGTAGGGTTTTTTAATTTGTATTTATTTGCATCCCTGCCGCGCCTCATAGGCAATACGGGTTTTAGCAGCAGTGAGATGTTACGTAACGACACACGGCTTGAAAAACAATATTTTAATTTTATAAACTGGGCCTATGTTTTGATTGCATTTCTTTAGGTTTGGCCACTGTCTTCTTCTGCTACTACGTCCGGTGGCCTTCCAGGCGGTGCACCTCCTCTTCTTCCCAAGGAGAAATGGGTTGGGCCTATAATGAATTTCCATTTTGAAATGAAATCTTTAAAATATATATACATATTATATATATGTTTATGTGTATATATATATTATATGTATATATATATATATATATATATATATTTGTGTGTTTATATATATGTATGTATGTATATATGTGTGTGTATATGTATGTATTTATTTTTACTAGAACCTTTTTTTGACACTGCTTACTAGAGCTTTTTTTTGATACTGCCAGTGTTTCAACTGCCTCCCGCAGTGCTACATCCTACGGTATGTTTTGACTTTTATTGTGATTCTTTTCTTAACACACCTATCCTTCAACTATACACCTTATTATTATCTTCATGCAGGCTACTATTCCATTACCTCTTTCAAGAAACTGAATGTCAACTGTTATCTATATATAGTACAACTTGTTTTTGTTTCTTTATCATCATAACCTTGTTTTACATTTATTCTTACATTTTAAAGTTCTCTTTTAAAATTATTGTTTTCTTATAGAGTTATTTATACTTAATAATCTATCCTAACGATATTACACTAATTTTACCCTATTAATCTTTCAATTTCTTCACTTCTTAACCTTTAGTCCCGTTATCTGTTACTTACAATTAAAGGTAACCTCCACTTGCTTGTTATCCACTGGTATCTTATTATTATGTTATCTTATTCTTATTTTAACTTTGCTGTAACATTACTTATTCAATTTTCAATCTATTTATTTGTTAACATTCATTTTCTTTATCTGTTAACCCATAGTAATCTAATGTAATCTCTATTAGTTAGTTATACACTTATTCCTTATCTTTTATCGCAATCTGTTTACTTTTAACTTACATGCTATATTCTCCTTTATTTTTATTTTTTATTCATACTTATTTTCCGATTATCTGTATCTTCTACATATATAATACTTAATATTTTACTACATTGTCACCCACTATATCTCTGATATCATCTTTTATTTCTGTATCTGACAACTTCCTCTTATTTTATATCTACTTATATTTAATTTTTATTCTAAACATGTTTTGTATCTTTTGTAGCTCTGAAGACGACCTGCAAAGTGGGTCGAAACGTCGGAAAAATTAAAATAAAATAATTACTATATTTTAATTTAGTATTTATTTGACCGCACCCCCGACTAACTCCTTCTCATATTATATCAACGGTCAACCATCTCTACATCATTATGTTAATAATAAATAAATATAGAAATAAGTTGAAATATATCAATTCCATAAATATAATTCAAATGAAAAGTAATTTATTTCAATGCATTTATATGTTTACGTTGTGTTTTCATAGATTATTTTATTTTGTTAACTTAATATTACAATAACTTATAGCAACTATTATAGGCTATTTATTTTAGTTTTCTACTTATTCCTATGATTTATTTATATTATTTAATATTCCCTTTCATTCCTTTGTTAAATCATTTTGCATTGATTTGTTTATTTCATTAAGGTGTTGCCTTTATTTTATCATTTTTTCCTCTATCAGTTTGTTTCTTATATTTTGCAACTTTCTAAATTTGTATATCACATATTTTCCATCCATATATTTATTAATGTTAGGTTTAATCTCTGACATATATTAGTATAATTGTTTTTTCACATACACTTATCAATTTTTTTCTGAATGTTTAATAGTTATCTAGTCTTTGCTTAGCCCTGATGAATACCTGAAACGTAGGGCTAAGGAAGGAAAATATTTTTTTTGTGTGTACATCTAATGACAGTATTCCCTAACCAACTTCCCTTATAAGAATCTATAGTCAATTATTTCTTCAATATTATTATATGTTATACGTAATGAAGTATTAAATAATAGCTTATAATTAACAACGCAACGAAAATTGCCAAAAATAAACGAAGATAGCCCCAACGTTAAATAGCCAGAGAGCGATATAATCCGGAGCGAGAGATGGAAGAAGCGATTACTTGGCGGGACTCCAACCCGAGCCTAAAAGCCTCCCCACGCCATTTCCCGCTCACACTCCGGTGTCGTTTTTCTATTTTCGTCTGGTAACTTTATTTCTCCGATGGCGGAAGGAGGTAGGCGTTATACAGGTTAATAGCCTGGCCAGAATATTTTCCCATTTTCCAGGGAAATAAAAGCTTCTATCGCAACAATCGTGCAGAGAACAGATATCCTCAAATGTCAAACTCCAGACGAATTTATTTTCGGCTCCAATATCTCGGACGAAATGGTTTTCGGACCAAATGAGATCTTAGAATGAATGGTGCCTGTTTTACTGCAGTCGGTAGTAAACGCTCCTCGATATCGAATGAATATTTCAATAAAAACACTACCTAACTATTCGGAGGCACTTAAAATCTATGAAGAAACTCAACATAAAACTATTTATAAGCTTTCATATCCATGAATAATAATTCATAAAACATAATTCATCCATTATAATGAATAATTCATTGATTGATATTACATTCGCAATTAGTCAATAAAAATTATACAGAAGTAGATATAAATGATACAGAAGTCCCTCATTAGATCCACAGAATTGGAAGACTAACAGCAAGATGGCTGAATGAAGGGGAAGCAGATGCTCTAGACTGCTTCTTGACACTCAAAAGTGGACAGCCACCGCACAAGAAAGAACTTATTGGTAGTGGCTGCTGTATGAGGCCTAAATTATTAAGTGTATTTTCGCGACATCAAGTGGTAGGAATAACCCCTCTAAAAATTTTTAAAAAAATTGAAAAACTCATTATGATAGAAATTTTATTCTTTAAACGCTCTTTTGTCTCTACTGAATGGTTGGAATCTAACAGTAACATAATGCAACATAATGCAATGTGCAATGCATGCATAAAACATAATGCATTATTTATTACATTCCATTTTAAAATATTCAATTGGTTGCCACATCAACATAGCTCGGTGCTGTATTGTTGTATTGCTTGATTTTTGGGGTACGTATTCTTCACAAGGTAAAAAACAATTTTCTTTTTTTCTAAAAAATATTTTTTATTTACAATATTATATAATATAGTAGCATATATTGTACACAAATTATAAATATCAACTACTTATTTTTCAATTCAATATTAACTATTGAAGTTGTTGTCATGTCGAACTGATTCATTGCCGAATTCTTCATGTTTAAAGACACGAGTTCTTCACAAGATAAAGAAGCCTTTTTTTTTCAATATTATATTTTTAATTTAAAATATTATATAATGCAGTGTAAAAATCATAGGTAAATAATAACTACTTACTTTTTCAATTCA